AACGTTGAATGAAATTCCAATGCAGCACCAAAGGTCCAGAAAAGTCTTGCCCTTTTAAGAACAGCAACCTTCCTGTCTGCCCCTTCCACCTCACTCACTCTAAGGAAAGTCTTGCCTCTGGCTTCATCTTGTTCTCTTACCTTCTTGATCCTGGAAACCTGAGCTCTGTGGCCATTTTTTCTCACTCCAGTGTAAAAGGTTCATCAGAGTCTTGCTTCTTATTTGCATAAGAAACACTACAAAACCCTTTACTTGAGAAGACAAAATCTTCAGGAAGCCCAGTAACTGTCATGTTGGCAAGGGCTACGTATATTTAAGATGGTAGCTTGTGGTAGGAGCTATTTTCTAACAGAGATGGAAATTTCGTTAGGTGGAACTTTGGTGATTCATTATCACCTGTTTGTGGGAATTTTGATTCCTCACATCCTGTTTCACTTATTTTTAAAACTATTTATTTGAAGACAGGTACGATTTCTAGGTTCTAATCTAGTTGAATCATCTAGCAACATAAGAGTTGGATGTAAGCTTTTTTTTTTTTTTTTTTGAGACAGAGCCTCAAGCTATCCCCCTGGGTAGAGTGCCGTGGCATCACAGCTCACAGCAACCTCCAACTCCTGGGCTAAGCGAGTCTCCTGCCTCCGCCTCCCAAGTAGCTGGGACCACAGGCACCCACCACAACACCAGGCTATTTTTTGGTTGCAGACGTCATTGTTGTTTTGGCAGGTCCGGGCTGGGGATTCAAACCCGCCACCTTAGGTGTACGTGGCTGGCGCCTTAGCCGGTTGAGCTATAAGTGCCGAGCCAGATGTAAGCTTTTGTAAGCCAACAATGAAAGAGGAGTTGAGAATTATTAGCCCCCTTACGGCAGGGGTTGATAAAACAAGGCATTCTCTTCTTCAGGAGGACAAAAGATGAATCACAGTGTTTGGTTTCCTTGTGAAAGGGACAATTCAAGCTGATGTATGATTTCTCATTTCATAATGTTAATAGTTATTAATTAATACATATTAAGGGAGATAACAGCTGTCTACCACCTGGTACATCCTATATGGTGAGTCTGCCACATTCATACAATATCTAGATGAATCATATAATGATGTTAACTAGCTACAACTTATAGGGGAGAAAATCACATCCCAGAGAAGCTAAGTAACACACTCAAAGACACACAACTAGGCCAGCTAAAATAAGAAATCGCGGTTGTATGATTTGAAAAATCCCAGTTCTCAGGGAGATAGGGAGCTTCTGGAGCATTACGGACAGCCTTCCTGTTATTCTGACCAAAAGACTGACTGATATGGTCCAGGTAAACTTTCTGGGAAATCTGCCGTAGTGTCTAGAGAAAAGGAGGGCAGCTTCACCTTCTCATCTCACCTTGTCCCTAGTCTCCCATACACTCTCTTCATCACTTCTTATTTGTGCATAGGTCAAAGGACCCTTTCTCATTGGTTTGGTGAAACTAGCCCTCCACTTAGAGGTGGCAACCTTGGGATGCCTGGTGCTATTTAAATGTGTTCTACAGTTTCGAGATACCTTGGAAATTCAATCTTGCTTCAACTGAGAATTTACAATGTACTTTGTAGCTCTAGTCTTTGTGGTAGGCACTGTACCAAAGAAAGTATACTAATGTTTTCAAATTATTTAATCACTATTTTCTTTTTCTTTTTTTTTTTTGAGACGGAGCCTCAAGCTATCCCCCTGGTAGAGTGCCAAGGCATCACACTCACAGCAACCTCCAACTCCTGGGCTCAAGCGAGTCTCCTGCCTCCGCCTCCCGAGTAGCTGGGACTACAGGCGCCCGCCACAACGCCTGGCCATTTTTTTGGTTGCAGCCATCATTGTTGTTTGGCAGGCCCAGGCTGGGGATTTGAACCCGCCACCTTAGGTGTATGTGGCTGGCGCCTTAGCCGCTTGAGCCACAGGTGCCAAGCATTAATCACTATTTTCATTAAGCTTATAAGCAAATATATTTTGTCATGTCTCAGTACATTCAGAGTAACCCTAGATTCTTACATTGAGGGAAGTCAAGCTATTTTGTTTTTAAAGTACGTGATTTGGGATATCTTTTGAAATTATGGTATTTTATTGTACTCTTCATTGATCTATTCTGAATATTCTCAGACATTTGGAAATTACCAGATGTTTTTCAACCATGCAGGGGATTTTTCTGCATAGATAGTAGCCCTGTTCCACCACCTTTTAAAAAAAATTTTAGCCTGATTTTTAGAAGGAAAGTTACAACGTTTTTCCCTCTTGGTAGCCACAATAAATGGAAGACCTTTCAGCAGCCCATTTCTGATCTGCGTCCCAGAAATGCTTTAAAGAGGAAGTAACAGTTCGTTTTTTCCAAGTTAGCATTTCCTGCTTCTTGGTTCTCCTGTTTATTGGTCTGCTTTGGGGCCTGAAATGAAAAATAGAAAGGAAAAAGGGAATCAGTGAACGTATGCTAGAAAATGATGCCTTGCTTTCAGGCAACTGCGCAAGGAAAGACTTTGTTTAATATTCAATGTGCATAACCTGGGGGGGAAATGGTACATGTTTTAGAAATTTTATTGTTTTTAACAATGCAGGCAGGCAGTTTCCCATTTCAACCACAGATACAAAACCGAAGCTCCTGCAGAGAAGCACCCAGCCATCTATTGTTTAGAATGGTTTTTAAAAGAATTCGGATTGCTCTTTTCTGAATCTGCGTGCCAAATGACAGAGACCAATATTCATCTTCTTTTACTCTAAAACTCAGAAAGACACATAAAAGAAGCTAGAAATGCATTTCTTAAAGGGATTTAGTGCAGCTATTTTAAATAATTTATACACACACATACATATATCCCCTGAGTGCCCATACCCCCCCCCACTTTTGCTTGTGTAAAATCAGTAGCTACATAACTGAAATTCACTTTCTAGGACGGTGACATTTCAGAGGTCTTCCAACTAGAAGTTGAAATCCCCAGAGCGGCGCAAGCTGTCCCTCTGGGACAGCGACTCACGCAGCTGCTGGCCAGCACCTCCAAGAGGAAAAGTGAAAGTTGCCCATGTTATTAGCCGGCTCTGAGTTTGCACGAGAAACCAGTGCGGCTCTTGAGCCACATGGGAAACATCTGCAGCTGGGGCCAGTGCCCCGAAACCGCGGCCAGTGACTGGCGATCTCTTCTCTCCTCCTCGCCTTCCTAACCCGCTCCCGCTTTATGTAGAATTCTCTCTCTCTCTTTTTTTCTGGAGCAGCTACTCAGGCAACCCCTCCATCGAATATTGACTGTAAGGAGTTGAAACGCTTTGGGTTCCAGCTTTCGAAATCCAGCTGGTGAGAGACTGTACAGACTCCCGGGACCTCTTGATGGCCGCCAGCCACTACACGCAGAAGGTGCGCGAGACCTGGAGCGTGGATAAAAAAGACACCCCCACCCCCAGCCTGACACGCAAGATCTCTCTGCCGGGTGGTCGTTTTGAGGTCTTTGTCCCCGCGTCCTTCTTCTGGGCCCCGCACTCCCATGTCTGGCCGGCAGGTGGCGGGGTTGGTTCACGGTGAGTCCCTGCCAGGGCTGGCCAGGCGCTTCTATCTCCCCGCGGCCGCTGGGCAGCTGGGACTCAGGCTCTGGAGGAAAACTCAGCACTGCCCTGGAGGGATCCAGAAGAGGGAAGGCCTGGGAAGAGGCAGAGAGGGCTCCTCGCTAAGAATCAGAGCACCAAGTGGCTTTGGGGATCGGTCCCCGGGCCGCCGCCTGAGCTGCCGTCGCTGGGCAGCACGCAGGTAGCCCAGCATCGGAGAACAGACCCCGACCAGATGGTGCCGGCGCCCCGAGAGATCGTCAGTGACACCCGCGGGATTGGGGACAGGGCAGCTGCGCGGGTTTCTGCGGGTCCTGCGGCTCGCCATAGTCTCCAGGGGTCCGAGGGCTGTCCAGACCAGCTTAGGGGAGCAGACAGAGCACAGAGCTGCAGCGTGACGCTCGGGGCAGGTCCGAGTCCCCACTGCGTTGTCTGTGCAGCTGCAGGTCCCTACACTCACACTTAGGCCCTCCGCTTCTATCATATGCTGCCCGGAATTGCTAGGCCTAGTTCCAGAAAGCTCTCAGCCTGTGCCCCGGAAAACACAGAGTTGGTTCCCTGCAACCAAGGCTATCTCGGGGCGTCTTACGGCGGCAGGAGTCCTGTCCCGCGCTCGCACGGCGTTTGCGCGGCTACGAGACCAGCGGAGACTGCCTTGCTGCTAGAAAGTCGTTTAGTCTCTGGAGACCAGAAGTAAAGAGTGAGCCCTGATGTGGGCTGGACGTAGGGGACCGAGTAAGGCCTCGCTCCCAGGCGGCTGGGGAGCCAGGGAAGAAATGAGTAATCAAGCCACAAAACTCCCCCAAAGCGCATTTTAGACTGAGGCGCCATAAAGACACAGCAGGGCAGGTAGCAGAAGGTTGACGGTGGCGGCGGCGGCGGCGGTGGCGGTGGCGGTGCGTAGGCAGCCCCAGCTTGGTAGCGCAGGACGCAAACACGTCGACCCTCAGAAAGAAGCCACAGCAGAGGTGCAGGTCAACTTTATACTTATTTTATTTCAATCAAAGGGCTTTTTCCCCCACCTGAAACCGCCCGTGTTCCGCGGAGGGAGGTCGCCAACCTTTTCTCCCGCTACCCTCAGTCAATTTAGAGTCTTTCTGAAGCTCCCTTTGCCGTCTAGAGGCTCGACCCCTGAGGTGACGTGGGAGACCCAGCTGTCTCCCTCCGGCGGGCGGAGACGGGGGACTGACCGAGCGCACCCCCTTCGAACCCGAGGAGACCGCGCGCCCCGCTGAGCCCCGAGGGGGCAGGACCTGGGGGCGGTTTCTGCGCGAAGGAGGCGGAGCCGCGGCCGTCCGTCTGCGCTGCCATTGGTCGCGAGCCCCAGACTGGCGGGCTCACGTCACGGACCGGACCCACCCCCTTGGCAATGTCTTCAGCTTGCTGCACTCCTAACTTAAGCATTTATTCCACTGGGATAGAAGCGGCAGGAGCAGCGTTGGCACCAGCGAACCATGGCTGGGATTTTCTATTTCGTCCTCTTTTCGTTTCTCTTTGGGATTTGCGACGCTGTCACCGGTTCCAGAGTGTACCCCGCGAATGAAGGTAGGAGCGGGGTGGCTTTTTTGCGGTGGAGGACAGAGAGGGGACTATTCTCGGGCGAACGCTCCACCAGAGCGCGGGGCCCGGCTGGTTGGTGTTGGGGGGAGCCCGGCGCGAGCGGGGCGTCCCGACTCCAGAGAAGGGGGTCGCGACTAGAGGATCCGCAGAGGGAAGGCGAGGAACCACCGGACGGCTTGCCCCGAGGCGGTGACCCGTGCTAGCGGGTCTACCCAAGTTTCTAACCAAAGGCCAAAGTTTATCAGCTTTCGCCTGCGAGGCCCGCTTGAGGTTCCCAGAGGGGATGCCTTGGATCCAAGACCTGAATTTAAAAGAAAAAAAAAAATCTATGTATCAAGTCCTTTCCCCCACCAGCCCCGGGAGAGGGGAAAACGCAAACCTCGGGCAGAGTGAAAGCATGGTGCTACCGTTTCCTAGGGAAAGCCTTCTGATCCCTGGTTTCTGCAAAGTTTCCCGTGATCTGCGCTTTCCGGGACCCGCTTTGGGGCCTCCGCAGCGCAGCAGTCGTGGCGCCGCTCTCCTGGCTCCCGTGACCTGATTTCTAGCACCCAGCGTCCGACACCTCCCCCCACGCCAAGCTCCGCGCCCTGGGGGTGTGATCTCGGGCTTGGGGGGTCCCGAGCTCCTCAAATCACCTTGCAGACCTGGGGAACTCGCCAGCAAGTTGAACGTAGTCGAGTCTTGCTTTTCGCCTTAGAATTGTACAGTGGGCTAATTAGGAGGAAACATGAGGGATTGACTGGACCCGTCTGGGTGCTCAGTTTTCTGCGCGTCTATTTGAACGTGCTAGGAGGATTTGATGAGCGTGTGTGTGTGTGTGTGTGTGTGTGTGTTGAGGCGATGATCCTTTAGTTTCTGATGATCCCGGAGACAGAAGAGCTATGTGTGTGCGAGCGTCTCTGTGTGTGTGTGTGTGTGTGTGCGCGCGCGCGCGTGCATCTACGTGCACATAGGTGGGCGAATGCCTGCGTGGAAGTGGTCGCGGGTGATTGTGTGTCCGTGAGCGGCCTGAATGTGTGCGCGTGTGTTTCAGCGTATGTTCTTGCTATGACCTGTGTGCATTTTTGCATCCATCTCTCACATTCTTCCCTCTTTCCCACATCCATCCATCTATCCGTCTATCCACCTATCCATGCAGCCATCCATCCGTCCATCCATCCATTCATCTATCCATTCATCCATCTCTCAAACTCTCCAGGCATCCGTCCATTCATCCTGCGTAATCTATCATTTTCCCTGTTCCGAAGGAGGGAGCCAAAAACCAACTTAGCTTTGGCTGGGCAGCCGGTACCCAGAGCTCTCCAGATGGAGGCTCGGAGAGATTCATACACCTGCCCACAGACACTGCTTAGGAAGCAACGGCCGCTGCGGTCGCTGCGCTCTCCCAGCTCCAGCTCCCCCCTCTCCTTCCGACGTGGCTTCTGGTGCCCTCGCTACCGCCCAGCCGCCTCGCGATCCTTAGGATCATTCATTCGGAGGAATCCCAGATCCTGCGTTCTTCTGGCGATGTTGCACACTTGTTAGGACGTCCCCTGAGACCTATCCCGCCCCAGACGCCCCAGACATGGAGACTGTTTTCTTTATTTTTACCTCTTCTTTGCTTTTTCTTTTGGAAGCAAAACTTGGGAGCCCTAAACAAAAAGCACTGATGGAGCCCATAGGTTCATGTTGAAAGAAGGGGGGTCGCTCCCTTTCCTCGACCCCACCTCCCCTTTAAAAATTAATTCATTTTGTTGCTTTTTATTCCCATCACGTTTCCTTTTCTCCCTTTTACCCTCCTTTTCTACTCCCTCCCTTTTTTTGTAAATTGGGTCTCATTGTTCCCTTTGTGTCCCTAATCCACCTTACATAAATCCAAATGGATGTAGCGGCCTTTCTCTGGGGATGGAGAAGAAGAAAGAAGGAGGGGAGGGGATGAGGGGTTGGGGGGAGCCACCAGGGGAAGGCTCTACATTTTAAAATAATTAGCAGACCCCTGGAATTCAGGCTTCTCAGGAAAACCAGAGGAAAGGGACCAATTTTTAACTCTGTTGACTATGCGATAAAATGAGAGGGGAGGTGGGCAAACTTCAGGGGCCTGGGGGGTTAAGACTGAGAATTGGGGTGCCCAAGAGCAAGGATGGAGGCTGTTCATTCCCACACCTCCTCCACGCAGAAGAGCCAGCCTCGCTGATCAAATTAATAACCCAGTGGTTCCTTTGAGGTGGGCCCTTCGACCCCCAGGGCTGCAGATCTCGGTGGGAAAGGGAATGTGGAGAGGTTTCGAAAACATTGCGTCCCTTTCAATGTCGTGGGTACCTAGCACACATTTCCAGGCTGAGTTGGGTACGGCCGCTCTGTGGGCTCCCTCTCCCTCTCCCTCCCCCCAGCTCTGACGCACACTCCTAGGTGTAGCACAGGCACGCTAAGTGCAATAGGCAGCAGTCCCTGCCTAAAATTCAAACCAGCGATTTCCTCAGGGCGAGGACGAGTCCCAATTGTCCTCAAAATCCCTGGGAAAGGGAGAGTAGTTCATTTGCATTCCAACTCTACACGCCTGGCATTATTACTCCTCCCTGAAACTTTGATATTTATAAAAGCCGCAGATACCATGTCCAGGGACTATTTATTTGGTGGTGGAAAGGAGAAAATGTTAGGGGAGAGAGCTTTTTTCTGACCCTAAGGATAGTCTCTGATAGGAGAAAGAATCCACTTGTGGCTCTCTCACCACGATGAGTTATGGGGTCATCTGAAACGTGCAAAAACAAATAATTCTAGTAGGTACCAGACAAAGATGAACGCAAATTTTGCTCTGGAGTATAACTGCCCTACATAGATATAGTTATTTATTTATTTACTTTTTCTTTTCGAATGTACTTGACATTCTCTATTCATCCTTTTTTGAAAAATGAATCAAGGAGTCCTGGGTTGGAATTTTAAATGCTAAGCAAGTTAAATAAATAAGGACCTGCAGATTTAAAGAGGGGAGAAGATCAAATGAGTAATGGTTATTTACATAAGTGAGACCAAGTTTAGGTTTTGATCAGAGTTGGAAATGTCCGACCTCAGCACATATGGAAGCGCTCAGGCAAATGGTTTTTGTATTATTGGCTTTTTACAATTGGAAATTAATCTATTTTTCTTTTCTGTTTTTTTTTTTTCTTTTTATTTGCAGTTACTTTATTGGATTCCAGATCTGTTCAGGGAGAACTTGGGTGGATAGCAAGCCCTCTGGAAGGAGGGGTAAGTTCTCCGAGTTGCTCTCTGATCCCCAGCGTAAAAAAAGGAATGATTAGCAACTTTCTGAGAGTCCTAATGGCTTGATTCTTCTTGATTGTGGAGAGGGGGTCAGATTTCCGCTGTGGCCTATGAAGTGAATTACGCTTTGTTGGGGAAATTCTACCCTCCCTCGGGATGGCTCTGTCATGGAAGAACTAGAAACCAAAAGGGCAGAAAGAAGTTTCAAAATTGGGAGATTGGTGGAGGCATAGACTTAGATGCCTATTTAAAACTAAAATACCGACAGGAAATATGATCCAGGGCCCAAATTAGAATATATACCTACCTATGACTGTGATGGCCATGAGGTCCTGACAGGGTTAATTTCAGAGCAATTGTTCTGCTTCCAAATGAGGAAAATGAATAAATAAGGATGCCAGAGAGAAAACATTTCTTTTTCTTTTTTTTAGAAACATTTCTAATCTTATCCAAATTAGCAGCACAGAGGCCCCTTACCTTCCACTCACAACCTTAAATCAGCTGTTCTTTTGTGCAAACTGAGAGAAAGCCCTGTGAGTTTGTGTTGGGGGCACACTATGTGCAGAAAAACTCACATTTGTGCACTGCTGGTGTTAAATGTGAAAAGTTTTAAGTGTTTCGAATCTTGGATCATTGAGGATGCGGGAGGCTGATGTGTAAAGTCTGATATAGCACATCCCTATTGCTTCTTGAATTTGTGGCACTTACCATCACTGCCCCCATGGGAAGATTCAGAGAATACTAGTAGGTCAATAGCCACGTTCTTCTAACTGCCTTTCAAAACAAACCAGAAAGAATCAACTTTGGAAAGACATCAGTACAACATGTGGCTAATTTCTGCCAAATTGAAATTACCCTCAAATTCCTTTAAAATTAAGCAGATCATCCTACCTTCACTTGCTTTATAGACTGAGACTGAGTCAACTGATTAAAAACAATGGGGAGAAAAGATCAGGAGTCTTACTAAGCACAAATTGTAATGCTAGCTCCCAGCATGGTGCTCCATATACAAGCATTGAATAAATAATAAATTTATTATTAAATTAGAAAAGTTAAATTTAAAAAAGCCAAAGTTAAAAAAATAAAGATTCATAGAAAGTGTTATAAAGAATGCATTTCAAAGATAAAACTAGGCAAGAAAATAGTCACAGAAATGGAGAATTTTAGGCTGCCTTGTTTCAAAGCAGATCTTATAATCTATCTGGAATAAAACGGAGATTGCCCTGCCTTCCTGTATTTTTTTTTTTTTTTTTTTTTGCCTGAACTTGACAGCCATTGGTTTATTCTTTGGTGAAAAACTTTAGTCTACCCTCAAAACCATTTTTTTAAAGGGATGGGGGAAAGTGATTGGCAGGCCTCTGGCAGTGTAGACAGGCTGTATTCACCGCTGATTGCAGGCAATTGCCCTCATCCTTTGAATGTGAAGAAAGGTACAGCTTTATCTTGGTGAGAGTCAGACTCATTGTTAATCCTATACCCTGGAAAGGTCACTGATTCAGGGGAGGCTTTCCCAGGCTGCAGCAGGGGGATTGCTTGGGAGGTTAAAATGTATCAGAACTGCAAGTAATACGAAGGATGAAGGATATCAGAAATTGTCTTAATAAATTTAATAAGCCTTATTTTCCTTAGGTTGTTAGGTTCTGGCTGCCCTTTGGTTTGAAGACAGAAAACATCTAGCACAATTTTGAACCTGTATATTTATTTCAGTAAATGTATATGTGACCTATATAAAATCAAGGGGTGACACATTTTAGAGTACAGGATGGTCTATCTAGTTTCTAGAAAGCTTTTACTGCAATTTAATATGTTGCAGACATTTCTCTCCCTTTCTACAGAACTGCTGAAAGAGCACCTGGTCACTTTCTAGACACAAAACTTCTTTTGATTGTCTTGAAACGTATTAAAAAATACTAGGCATAGCTGGTTGTATACAATCCAGAACTTTTTATGGGTTGGATGTAGACAGTTTTTATTTTTCCTTAAACATAAGGTGGGTAACATTCTACATCTTATTTTTAAAAAATTAGAAGTGAAATTTTATTTGTTTGTAAAAAATTAGTCACTCCAAAATACATAGTTGCCATGGAGAGATGGTGGGTCAAATTACAACATTTAATCTCTACGTAATTGAAAAAGATTTTTTTCAAGTTAGAGTCAAAGAAGGAATTACATATTGACTAAAAGGAGGTGGATTGCTTATCTTCAAAAAGTTCTTTCTAGCTGAGGGTAAAATCATACTGAGTTTTTAAGAGATTATTCTCAAATCTCTACTTGTTAATTGTTACAAAATTTCACATCTCTTTTGGCCGAAAACTTTGGAGAGTTTTGTCTGATGATGACATTTATTTGTTGTTCTTGCTATTTGAAAAAAGAAAACGAAACCTGATTTGATAAAACTATCAAGTAAAATATGAAAGAGTCCCAGGCAGCTGACTCTAAGAACAACTCCACAGGACATAAGAATGAGAAAGTGATGGTTGCTGATGGCATTATTGCAGCAAAAGCTACTTTCTTGGTAGTGTTTATTTAAAGGAGTGTCTAGAGTTGCTGACACTGCCTCTAAAATATAAAACTAAGGCTGGATTTGTCACTGTCCTAGTGAATTGATCAAGGCGGTTGTACAATTACGTTGAGGCTACAATGCTCACATTCAGCCAGAATGATTCCCTGTGAATTCTGGAGATGTCCCACGTGCCTTCATTTACATTGATAAATGTTTTTTTCCCTATTCCCATTGTTCTGAGATGAGAAGCATACTGAGTGGGGTTTTTTGAAGGTGAGGATCTATTTTTGGACTTACATGAATTTCCTAAAATAAGTAAATTACTGGTGATTTATTGCTTACTGGATAAAAAGAAATTCTGATCACCATAGGGCACTTACCCTTCCCAACTTTTATGAGGGTATCAGATAAAAGGGATTCAGGATTTTATGCATGAGGGCCCTTCACATAGTAACATTTCCATCCGTTAATAGTTTTCCAAGACACAGATGGGAAACGCGTTAAAAGATACATGTATGGTTCTATATCCTACATTGGATTGCATGAGGTGGAGCCATTATAGCATACACATTTTAAAAACTTATCTTTCTTTTTCTTCTAATTATATTCATGTGTTACTTAAGCTGATTTATACCCGATCCATATCACTGCATTATTATAGATGTTAATGAAGAATTGGAGGCGCCTACCAGCCTATAGGAACCCTCAAATTATCTGCTGCCTTTAGACTTACTTTTAAAAGCTATTATGAGGGTGGAACTATTACTTTAGTCACAAGGAATTCTGAATTCAGATTGTCCCACCATAAGACTCGTTGTGTTAGGAAGTAGGATGCCAAGAAAACACTGCCATCCTCCTTTCATTTCCTTGGTCCTTTAGTCCTAAATACCAATCACTAGTTTATTTTTCATATCCACAGAATAATTAGAAGAAAAACATATATGCATTCTTATTTCATCAAGTGTCTTTGTTTTAAGAATAAGAACATGTACAAAGCTTTTCACTGAACAGAAACTCCTGAAAAGTTGTCTATGTTGTAAGCGATAGTGTATTTGAGAAACACAACCATAAAATTAACTTCCTATCTTCTCAGGGTTCCTGAAACCGGAATGGTGGGATTTTCTTTTCCCCTTTAAAGAGTAGTGATGGTGCCAAAAAAATCAATTGCCTTTTTTTTTTTTAAGGTATTAGAGAGCAAAGTTCTGACAGGAGCACCACTAATTAACTGATAATTGTCTTCCTTTGGCAAGCTGTCCTCTTCCTGCCCTTAATTTGCAGTTCTCCCTACAGTAGTTGAAACAATACACATACTAGTTTTTTATTTATGAGTAAATTTGAACTGTTGCCACTTGAAATTGTAGCTGTTGCAATAGGTGAATTTGAGGTAGTTAGACCACCGCAAGGAACTACTGAGAACTCACAGGTGGTAAATCCACCATTGCTTCTCGATTTTAGGCGAAAGATTGAAACTATTGGAAAAAAAGAAAAAACTTCCTTAGTAAAATGTTGTCCTGTCGCCTGTACTGTGCTTTATTTGTGATGATTGGTACTCAGTCGTTTTCATCATTATTGAAAGACTAATAATCAGTGTCCTGCACTTGAAATTACAGCATGATGAAACTTTATAGTTGATACATTTCCTTTGGCTCTCTGCAGTGGGAGGAAGTGAGTATTATGGATGAAAAAAATACACCAATCCGAACCTACCAAGTGTGCAACGTGATGGAGCCCAGCCAGAATAACTGGCTGCGAACTGACTGGATCACCAGAGAAGGAGCTCAGAGGGTGTACATAGAGATCAAGTTCACCCTGAGAGACTGCAATAGTCTTCCAGGCGTCATGGGCACCTGCAAGGAGACCTTTAACCTGTACTACTATGAATCGGACAACGACAAGGAGCGTTTCATCCGGGAGAGCCAGTTTGCCAAAATTGACACCATCGCGGCTGATGAGAGCTTCACCCAAGTGGACATTGGCGACAGAATCATGAAGCTGAACACCGAGGTCCGGGATGTGGGCCCGTTGAGCAAGAAAGGGTTTTACCTGGCTTTTCAGGATGTGGGGGCCTGCATCGCCCTGGTGTCTGTCCGCGTGTTCTATAAAAAGTGTCCGCTTACAGTTCGCAATCTGGCCCAGTTTCCAGACACCATCACAGGGGCTGATACATCTTCCCTGGTGGAAGTTCGAGGCTCTTGTGTCAACAACTCAGAAGAGAAGGATGTGCCAAAAATGTACTGTGGGGCAGATGGCGAATGGCTGGTACCCATTGGCAACTGCCTGTGCAACGCTGGGCATGAAGAGCGGAGTGGAGAATGCCAAGGTAAGAGGAGCCATATTGTACTTTTTTTCATTAGGGCTTAGTGCACGTAATTAAATCAGAGATGAGACCAAATGGAGTAAAGCCAGTAATTAGCAGCCCCTGTGGGATGTGGTGGGACAGAGGGGTCTAATGAGTAAGTGCTATAGCTCCAGGTGGCAAGGCTAAGACGTTTCTAATACTGACAAAATAAATGATGCTGCTGTAATCAGCAGAAAGCCAAACACATTTGCTAACAGGCACTCAGATCTGAACTGGCTGGGTGCGCCCTCTGAAATGTAAATGAACAAGCTGAAGAAATGGCCTTGATTGATCCTTCCTTAAAGAGGGCGGACACATTTTTGAGCCATAGTTTTCTTGTCTTTAGCCTTGGTAAAAATGACAAAGATGGTAAATATCTCTTGCCTTAAGTATGGGGGCATGAATGATTTCAATGTGAAATTAGGATTGTGTTGTTCCAGTTCCCTCCCACTGATTAAAATTGAGCTGTGTGAAGAAAGTCCATTTGTTTTCCTGCTGTGAAGCGGTGACGTTGTGGCCAGTGACGTGGGGTTGTGGGGTTGGAGTGACAATGTTTCAAGTACATTCTGTTCCCTGAGCACCCAATGATAGGGTCTCTAAGTGAAATCAATCTTGAAGAAAGACCTCTTCATTTCTCTTAGGAGGTGATGATAGAGCTCGCGAGAGTCTTATTTGATCTGTGGTCGGAGGCAGTAGCAAATTGTGACCCAATTTGCCATTCATTTGGGTTATTGAGTGTCTGGAGAAATCAACATGATAAATATTTTTAGCATGTTTATTACTGTTTATTATATTACTAAGGTTGGTTTTATTTGTTTGTTTGTCACCTAAAGTTTATTCTAAGAGATTTATTGCTGCCTTATTTCTCCTGCCTGTCAGAATCTGGGGAGTCTGTCAAATCTTGTACTTTATAGCAGCTTTGTATCTGAGTAAGAGATGAGTAACCTGTATTGATGAACCGGGATTGTTCACGTCACATGTGGATTAAGGCTTTAAAAAATCAGTCCTAGCTTTTGTCTTGTTTGGTATTGACTTTGTTGGTTATCAATAGTTTGCTGCCTCCGACCTGTTAGGGTTACTACTGAACAGCCGTAGTGTAACTCTGGTCTCATCTGTGGCATGAACAGTTAGATGGATATTGTCTCAGGGTTACTGCTGAGCTGTAGATACCTCGCCACATGGTTCATCTGATTTGGTGATTAAAGAGCCTGAAATAACTGACTGCCAAACAATTTGTCTGGCATTTCAACTGTCTTAATGACAAGGTGGGATTAACGATGGGGCAATCCGTTTGACTGACTGGAAATCAACAGCTAAAACCTGAAGAAAATTGCATTTTTATTAATCTGATGTCATAGACATGTGCATTTCTCTTCTGATAGTTTATACTTTCCTAAAGTGTCATTTCCAATCCAATTTGTTATAGTTATTTCTGGGAGTGGTTGACAGTGGCCATCCTTTAATTTCGTTGCAAATGAAACAGAATAAAGACTGGCTACTTTGTTGTTGTTCTAGAATCTTAAAAATAGAAAAGTTGTGACCTTGAAAATTTACAAGTTGGAATTGAAAGTTTTCTATAAGGATGAATGTCCGTTTTCCTCTTGAGTTAGCAACTACTCCATGAGCTTTACTAAATTGAAAACCTGAAATGTATTCCTGTATTCATACTGGAAAACATGTGAGTGCACTGCTATTGGCAACTAATTTACAACGATCAAACTAGGAACAGGAAAATGAGCAAAGCGATGACACAGCATCACATTTTGCAGTAAATTTATTCTGCCTTTTTGATTTTTATAAAATAGGACTTTCACATCTTCATATGTCAAGATTCTTATATATGTCTAAAGAAAAAAACACCATTGACTTCCATTTCCTGCTTAAAATGTTCACTCTTTCAGCATTGGTACAGCTCTGTGTCTCTAATGTCATTGATTTTCAATTGTCACAAAACCTAGTAACTCATACATTGCAAAATTGTGAAACTACTTGACATTTTTACAGCCCGAATTAGAAGGAAAAGAGAAAAAGATGGCAAGAGAAGTGAATGTAAAGGCAATTAAACATTTTAGTGGTTTACTTCATGGAAATAATCTTGGGGACCCAGTTAATCATGTGGTTCAGGGAAGGGAAGGAGGAGCTCCAGGTTTCAGTCCAGACCATCTCTGAGCAAACTGCTCCTAACACAAGGCCAGATATTTAAAAGGAAGAGGACGGTTGCTTGAACGAGCCTTCTTGAGAACCTTCAGTGTTTTCAGCTGAGCTACCCAAGTTTTATTCTGTTTTGTTCTTGTTTTTTGCTCCCCAAAATGAATAACTCTTTCAAGACACATCTTGCACAAAACCTTGCGCTTTGCTTGGCTTTTCTATTGTTACTGAGTGAGAATTTCTGACGAATTTAAGGAAGAAGAAAAATCTTGAATGACAAGGGATTCTTCAACTCCAAACTTGAGTGAGACTTTTGAAAAATTAGTCTATGCAATAAAAAGTTGTAGAACTAATAAAAATGTTTAACCCTATCTTTGACATTATTATTGGCATCAAAGAAGCATCTAGGTATAGTGAAAAGGATACGGAGACAAGAAAATGCAAATCGCTTTGGTGACTTAGCTGTATGGCCTTGGCATATTTGCCAAGCCCTCTGAGCTCGGTTTGTTCATCTATAAAATGGGTTGGTTGCAATTATACTTAGTTTACTTACACACACGTAGAGGACTTGGTGATATGAGATTGTTGAAAGTCATCTTATAGATCATAAAGCTCTTTAATGCTAACATTTTTTCATTGCTGCGGTCTTCCCGAGGTCATAGCTGTTGACTTTAGGAGCGTTGAGTTGAAACAGTAAAAAGGAAGCCCATCTCTTGACCACTCTTTGAAGTTGAGGCTAAAGATAGGAAGCATCCCCATCTTTCACCCTCACAAAGAATAATATCCATTCTCACACTTCATATAGAAAATAATATTGAGAGTGTTATTTTTTTCCCTCCTTTGGAGGAAAGATAAGTTTTCTTTGAAGGAGACAAAAGTGATTTGTGGGCAGAACAAGAAAGAGGATGTAAAGAGAGCTTAAGAAGGAATCAAAAGGAGAGCTGGCGGAGTCTTCATGGCTCTGGCAGCAGGCTTCTTCCCAATTGTCCTTGCAATAGTTCTACTGTGGCAGGACAAATAGAAGGACAGGTGAAAGGTCACCTACTTCCTCATCCATCTTCCTTAGGGTCTAGGAGGTCAGAGTGAAGATTGATTAAGATCTTAAATGTTTGACAAAGGATCCTTGGGCCAAAATGGCCAGGGCGGGCGGGGGCCTGGGGTGCACTGTTGTTTGACTCTAACCCTGATGGTCCGCCAGAGTTGTCCAGGGACCCTGGGGACAGCACTACACTTCCTCTTGCAGTTTTTACCCCCAGCAGCAAATGGTAATGGAGAGGCAGGCTGGGGGCTGGGCAAGGGTGGGTTTGCCCTCGGAAGCAGCTGCAAGTTCATTCTCCTCTTGAATAACATTTTCTGAAATGATTTGGTTTAGTCTCAATAAGACAACAAAGAGTGTCAGCCACTTATCTGTCCTCTCAAGGAGAATGTAACTGGAGTTAGCAAGCCCTTTAAACTTGCCCAGTGCTTGGCTACAGAGCATAATGTCATTATTAGAGTTAGACTGGTTACCAGGCCCCATCAGACTTTAGGAGAAGAGAAACAAAACCCCACCTCAGATATCTCCTCCCCAACGCACCCCCCACCCCCATGAGGAAATGTTCCAGATGTCTTTTACTGGGTTGTTTTCATTACTGCAAAAATATTAAGCCGAAGAAAGAATATTATTATTATTATTTTTTGCCTAAAAGCTGAAAAATGAAAGAAGGCCTCCAGATTTACTCTTTGGGAAATATGCATCAGTAATGCTTTTAGAGAATATATATAAAAATAATATTAATGAAAAGAAAACATTCTTATGGAGTCACGTTTAAGGCCAAATAATTACAAATGTGACAGAATTAAGCCGGGTAGGAATCAAGCCTTGTTGAAATATACAATTTTGGTAGAAATTGAGGTCATAGATATCCAATGGCTATAAAATGGAAATATTTTTAAAAAGGAGAGAGCTGTGTCAAAAAAGACAATTACTGTTTTTCAAGTATACTATAGAAGGATGTTTAGAAAAGAAGTAATGGAAGGAAAGCATTTCAAATACCGTTCACAGAGATGCTGTTTCACATCCTTTGCACTTTTGAAATTTTTCTTCTACCTTTGAATTGTGTCATTAAGAATCAATTGCTCAAATCACATGGCTGCTTTTATCTCCAGCTTTGAAGCATGGCTGTGATTACTGAAAAACGTAATTCTTTATCTACCAGAAGAGCAGAGTTTAATTATTGTCCTTTTTCTGTTATACTTTTTATTTTTTTTTCTTCTTTATGTGACCAGCTTTCTTTGTGAGTGTGAATCATGCAATGATCTCCATTCGAGTTCACCAAAGCATCACATGGGAATTATCGCAGGGATTTTTTAATATGGTATTCAAGGTTTGATGACTTATTTTAGTCTAACTGCACCTTCTTATACATTTCAAAAATGAATTAAGACATAATTATTCTGTTCAGACTTGAGCCCCTAGGAAAAAGACTGATAAAGTGGTTTTTTAGTTCCTACTGTGCAAAACAGATTGGTCATGATATAAGTTTGACTTTCACATCATCAAACTTTACTACTCAATGGGGGAGGGAGGGTGATTGATGAATTTCACATTACCAAAGAACTGCATACTTGTCAGAAAAATTTCCAAGCAAAATTGTGTAAAAGAGAAAGTATGTCTCCCCATACACACAGACAGACACACACTGTTTTCAAATGCTAACGCCAACTTTTGATAAATTATGACTTTTCACAATTTTGCAGGCAACTCAAATACACTGTAGGCCAGGCATAGTGGCTCACACCTGTAATCCCTGCACTTCAGGAGGCCAAGTCAGGAGCATTACTTGAGGCCTGGA